GAGCTGTTTCATTAACATTCATACAGTACATTTAATTTTTGGAGAGAATCTGAGTCACACGCTGATTATTCTCCACCTATTCGGCCTCTTTAGTATTTCTCCTTGTTGGTTTTGCAGAGGGAGCTGGAAACATGTCATGGCTAACAATGTATTATGGTGTTAGGAAAAATATCACTCGTCACCAGGCTTGAGCTTCAATATCAGGATACATGTATTTATTATCATTGCAAGAATGGAAGTAGTCATCACATACAGACAAAATAGTTCCCCGAATAGTGTCCTTGACATGCCTTATATACAAGAGACGGTGTTACAGTCACACGATGCAAGAATACTGGTTCAAAGCAGTATTCAGGCCTTAGTTCAGATTAGCTAAGGCCTGCATAAGCATAAACAGTAGGGAGGTGTGTGATGCAGTGGTTTGTGCGTTGGTGTTGGGACCAGGGGGTCACAGGTTCAAACCCCACTGCAGTCAGCATGTCGTTGTGTCCCTGAGACCCTTCACCCCAAATTGCTCCTGTGGGGATGGTCCACAGTATTGATTATGTAAGTTGCTTTGGATAAAACCGTCTAACAAGTAATGTATTCAATCATTTTCTGATTCTTCTCTAATATTGGCTTTTAAATGTGTAGTTTTGGATGTCTCTATGTGTCACATACATCCCAGTTTTAGTTTTTTTTTCAATCTTGAAATGTACCTAAAGCAGTAAACGTGTCCCTGACCTTTGCACAGAAACAGATAATAGATTAAGTCGTTCTGTTTGTTTGTGATATCGCGGCGCTCAGGATTTCTTTCAGCTTCTTCAGCAGCTCAATAATCCTGAAGCAGCAGTAACGGTGTGTGGAAACCAGGAAAACAACGCTGCTGATTTCCCATTCATCTCTTTTCCTTCCCTGCCTCTCTGTTAGATGCAGCACTCAGCTCAGGTTTCACTGAACAGTAATTATCAATGTACATGCTGGCTCACAGACCAAGTCATCATCATTTCATTGTATTATTAATAACAGCTAACACTTAATGCATCACTTTCAAACAAACTCCTGTAGAATATTGATACTGATATTAGTTTATTATGAACAACATATGTTTCGAGACTCAACACTACCACTACCACTTATTAACTAAATGCACAAAAGTGTCATTGATGTATATTTTTACATATTTTCATGAATTGAAATCTTATTTATGTTCACAAAATGTTCATTATATAAAATATTTTCATGGATTTTTTTTCCCCCACTGCATTTTTAAAGAAAACTGCACAACAGAAAACACAATTTCTGAAAAACATTTACACATTTTCAAAAATGTATTATTAAAATCTGCTATTCAAATGCTATATATATATATATATTAATAAATAGTGTTCTTTGAGTGAGTTTAGTCTGATCTGAATATATTATTAATTGTCCGAATTTTAGCCTTAACCCACAAGGAGGACCCACCGTGACACGGTGTCACATGAACCTCTGGAAAGTTCCTCATACAGCTTTTGCCTTGTTTTTATCTGGATGAGTTTGAACACTGAACAGTCTGGTGGGTCCTGGTCCTGACATTTGATTGTGTGTTCCCATGACAACATGTCCAAGATGTCCATGTGCCAGACTTAACACATGTGACAGAATAGCTACATTTCAAAAGCTTGTTTTTTTGTTGCTAAAGGGAAAATTCAAGCCATTTAAGAATTAAAATGCTTCCATAACATGTCCTTTATTACATTTAAACTCTTGTGGAAACATTTCCTGATCAAATTGATATGAAACAAATGAGACAAACATCTCTGTGACACTGATGTCACATCGAGACTTTAACCCTAAACTTTCACAGCAAACCCAAAGTGACATATATGCACAATTAGAAATATGATTTTGATCTGCTCAGTTAATTTAGCTGATTAAATTATATTTAGTTAACATATTCTTTATTCTTCAATTCAAAGAATGTTCAAGCTAATTTAAACCAAAAAAATCATCCTCATTCATTAAGTTATAAATAAGAGTTATTTTACCATTAAAGCCCAATGTGATATATATGTCCCTTTTCAGATATTTGACACCAGGGGGGGGGTTCTTGTCAGAAATATGTTCTAGGTGGTCTATTTAGTCTTAATTATGTTCCCCTTAATTTTCCCAAAAGTAGAAATGGGTCCGGGTTCTTATCCAATTGTATTAAAGTTAATGTGTGTGCATGATGTTGAAGTGAGGCGCTGCTGCCATCTAGCCTTTCTCACAGGTAACTCAAATGTCAAACCCTATCGTCAGTATCCTGCTGTTTTTAATGACCTTCTCATAAACTAAAACCATTATTCATTAAACAACAAAATAAAACTTTTGTTGTCAAAATGAGTCCACATAAAAATACTAACTCGCCTCCTTTGACAGAATAATCCCAACACTGTAAACCAGTTATTCCAGGTCTTTTATTACAACAAAAAAGGAAACAAGAAACAGAAAAAGACAAATATAGAGGAAGTGAGTGATAGTGAAGGCTGATCATGTGACGAGCTGAGGGAAGAACACACCTGACCTCTAACTAATGAACACATACTTGATTATTTGTTGAAAACATTGTCTTTAAATGTCTTCGTTTTGATATAAAACCGAAAGAAAATCTCAACTTTTGAGAGGTTGGAAACATTTAGACATTTCTGCATGAAAAATTACATAATTACCAAAATAGCTTGCGAATATTTTCTGTCGTTCGTTTTATAAATGCTGCTTTGAGTCAGGGAATGTAATTTTTCTTTCTTACACACATTTCTTTTCACTTTGACACAAGAACTTCCATGTTTTTCATGCTCCCTTTGTTCTACAAATGGTGTAAAACTGCACACACACACATTTCTGTTTATAAAACGACCCCCCAATACTTGACCAATAGAAAAGTCAGTGTATCACCTGTGTGAGAACAAACTGTAACAGACACGTGTGTGAGAAACAGGTGTAGGAGATGCTGGATTTCACTTTCTGGTGACGAGTTGCTTTGATAGTGGAACATGTGAGATTCACAGTATTTACATCCCAATTTGAACACGTCTCAAACAGCAGTTTGAGTCAGAGATGCAAATTGAACGTGTGCGTTTCATACAAAGATGTGCAGAGTACAAGATGTTACTGTAGTCAGGATAAGGCAGTCGTGAAAATCCGACAGATTAACACGGGGCTATTTTTGTGATTTAATTAACAAATGGATGATGTTGCAGAAAATTCCCATAATGCATCTTGATCTTTGCGTATGTACAGTATAGAGCTGCAATTATATTTATTGCGGTATGATATAGCATCTCTCTGGTTCCCTCTACAAAAAGCCAATGGGATTTTACAAGTTTTGGAGTATTGCAGAACATTGTTGATGTCATTTTGTTCAGAAGGATATTTACTGACACATTTTATGTCGTAGGATAAAAATATATTCACCTTGTTTTAACCACTGACCTTATTTCAGGCTTCTAACCAAAAGCACATTCAGAAAACCATTGACTTTAAGATGAGGGAACAGGAAGTGCTACAATGCTGAGTCATGGTTTTAGGACTCATTCCTGCACCACCTATTAGCTTTTTGGTCCATAAAATGGTGAAAAATGAAGTTTTGTTTGGTCAACAACTCAAATATATTCAGTTTATTGTCAAAGACGAGAAAAGAAAATGAGGAAATATTCACATTTAAGAAGCTGGAGATACAGAATTTTGTCTTTTTTTTCTAAAAAATGAAATCTATCAAAATAGTTTTAACAGTTTTGAGGATGAATCTCTGCAGCTGTAGTGTACAGGCGTGTTCACAAAGACACTTAGGAAGACTAAACTGAAAAACGGAACCGTTGACTTTAATTAAATGTATCATATCAACACATTTCACAAACACGTATTAGGTTAGCAACAACATTAAGTTAGACCTAATTGCTTTCTACTAACCTAATACAATAATGTGAAATCTGTTGAGATCATTTATATAATGAAACTCAACATTTCAGGTTGTTCAGTGTGGAGGGGGGGGGTGCACACTGCCGTCACCTTTGCACCGGGTGTCTGGAGCCCTGTTTCTTTTGGGGGTCGGCCGGCGCCCCCCCCTGTCGCCGCCGGTGCCTCCCCTTGGCCTCGGGCTCCGAGTCGCTGAGCTCCAGGTCGGGACAGTACCCGTCGCTGTCCTGCCTCCCGCTCACCACCGGGGTTTCCGACTCCGGCTTGGCCCACAGTCTCTCTTTGCGGCTCAGTTTGTCGGAGGCCCTCAGGTCCTCCGTGGTCCTCACCAGGTTGATGGTGGCCTCTTTAAAGGAGCGGCCAAAGTGCTCCATGGCGGACTTACGGAAGCTGCTTTTTGTAGCTTCCTGCTCGCTGGGAGTCTGGCAGGAACTGTCCTTCTTCTGCGACACCAGCTTCTCCAGCAGGCCGTTGGATTTGCCGTTGCTGTGGGAGGCGTGTCCGTGCAGCGCCGCCTGCAGAGCCAGAGGCTTCCCGCCGGGCTTCGTGACGGGGAGCATCGGGCGGCTAGAGGAAGAGGACGAAATACGCCCGTTTGAACGTTCGTCTCTCCGGTTGTGTCCGTGCATCTGAGGCTTCCCCAGACCCAAGCCTTCCCCTGAATGATCCGTCACATTCACGCTATTGTCCGGGCACAGCGGCCCATTCCCGGATTTAGAACCACCGTTTCCTAGGCTGGAGGATTTGGGCATTTTTAGCTTCAGAGTTATTCTCGGAGGAGGACGAAACAGCACGCTCTCAGTGGAAGAGGAAGAAGGAAGACCTGGGGAGGAAGGAACACAACAAAAGGCTTCAGATTGGATTGTATGGTAAATGGACTGTATTTATATAAAGCTTTATAAGATAAAGACTTTATTTATCCCAATTAAAGCAATTAAATATCTACAGGAAACAGACGGTCACATTATTAATGTAAATATTAGCAGTATTTAGTAGTGCAAAAAATCGTAGTGGCAGATACGTAATTGCACGTTATCATAGCACATTATTCATAATAATAGTAATAATATATAGTCTTTGCACCTCCTCAAAGCGCTTTACAGTCTCAAGTCATCCCTCACCCAGTCACACCTCGTTCACACAGAGCAATGAACCACTTTTTAACAAAGGAATCCAATATTCACACACATTTCATGCCATTGGGAGCATCTGGTATCTTGCTCAAGGTAATATCACAGCATATTATTGGCAGTAACATCAAAATGGCGGCAGATGGCTCACCAGCAGAGAGCTCCTGGTTCAGCAGCTTCATGTGGAGGTTGAACATCTGCTCCTGGGCTTTGCTCTGCAGAACCTTCAGCTTCTCACGACGACTCACCATGTAGCACAGATTCCTCACCTGCAGGACGAGAGGTTGAGACAATAAGAACAAGACCTGCACACATTTACAACTGCATTATCTGCTGGCTTTAAGTAAGGAATTCGGATTGGATTTTGGATTATTGCAGAAAATAATCTGTGGCAAAAAAACGTTTATGATGCTTACACGTTTTGTTCAGCAGGATAATCTCAACATATTAACACGATTTTATGATCTCTCAAGTGAAAAAATCTAACATTAGGCTAGAAAGGAACTACAGCTATAGGCGGCTAATGTTGGGCTATAAAGGAACTACAGCACGGTCACATGACTTCAGGTCACCACCGCTAAGCTAAAGGCGGCTAATGTTGGGTGTAATGACGTTTAGTAGTCTCATTTAGACACTTGTTAGCAACTGCCGTTTTTTTAAATCCACCAGTGGGGTATTTACTGACATATTTGATGACGAGAACAAAATGTTAAAATCTCTTTAACCAGACCTTATTTCAGGATAATGATGAAAACACACATTCAGAAAACCATTGAAAAGGGAAATATTTTCAAGGTTTATTGATTCCTGCCCCACTATTTGAATAATGATGTAAATTCCCCACCAAAACAGTCAAAATTAAGTATCAGTCAAAAAGGATCACAATTATTTCCAAATTGTGCAGCCTAGCATATATGAACTTCTGAAAAAACATCCATAACATTCATCTGTTTGCAATTCATATATATCAATATTCCAATGACTGTATACAGACTATTCTGCTCTGTTTTTATCTGTTTTATTGTGTTGCACTGTTGGAGGAGCCTGTGACATAATATTTTCATTATCATAACTACTTTCTGTCCCCAGAGTCAGAACTAAAAATGGAGAAGCAGCGTTCAGTTGTTATGCTCCAAATATCCGGAACAAGCTCCCAGAAACCTTCAGGTCCGCTGCAACTCTGACTACTTTTAAATCCAGGATGAAGACTTTTCTTTTTGCCGCTGCTTTTAATTGAACTATTCACATCTTACACTGCACTCAGCGTTTCCTCCAGGGGGGCGTCTTGCCGTCATTTGACGCCCTTATTCAGCTCGGAACGCCCTGAACTCGAGCCGAGGGAATTAAAAAATAATAATAATCCGAGAGAAGATCGAGTTTTTATCGCTTGAAATGACGAAAAGGAAAAAGGACAAGGACATCCCTCTGTTGGAGGGGCAAAGGAGTCTGGTGGGATTCTTTTCGCCGCCAGCAAAGTGTGTTCCTGTGACGGAAAGTGTACTGCCGGCGAGCCTTGACGAGGGGGTGCTAGTGGAGCACGCGCGTGAACTGCGAGCGCCGGAGCCTCGTAGCGGCGAAACTGAGGCTCCGTGGTAAACTGTGGTAACATGAAGAGCCGTTTAGGAGCCGGCTCTTCTTAGTGAGCCGAGCCAAATGATCCGGCTCACTAAAAAGAGACGGAATTCCCATCGCTAATACGTAAAGAGATAGTATCTATAACTTAAGGGACGGCTCAATTCAAAATTCAAGTCACGTGACAC